GTTCCTGATGACCTCCAGCGAGCCGCCTGGGAGCTGGCACTGCCCGGCCGTGGAGAGCTCGGGCGGCGCCGTGGCCATGGTTGCATTGCACGAGCCGTTCGTGCTGGCGGCGTGAATTTCGGGGCGGCCACGAGGTGGGTGATGACAAGGGAGGGGGGATATCATGGTGGGGGCCCTGATATCTCCCCAGATTGCATGGTGCCTCTTCTCATTTCCACACGTCCCAGGCCCTCCCGTGCCGCGCACGTGCCGCCAGCTATCCCCCCTCTCGGACGCCCTCCTCTTGGCCCCCCCCCGGGAGGGGGAGGAGAATCGTTCTGCACCGGTGGGTCTGGGACGGTCGCGTATACATCAGGAGGGGAAAAAACACAGACACCATTAATCGTCGATTCCCCCGAAAATATGGGAAGATATGGGCAGTGGGGGGGAAGACAAAAACCCAGAAACTGTGGGATAATATGTTGAATCCTATTATTTGCGTCTAGTTATTTGTGTGTCCCTGGGCCCCTTCAATACTGTGTGTGGCTACCAGCCGAGAGCCTCGCGGGAGCGGCGAAACAGAACTCCGACAGTCAAGGAAGTCCACGCACTGCGATTGGTGGGGAATCGCCCGAGCTCCCGACCTCGCGGTAAGCTGCTTTCCCAAGCAAGCGCGCCGCCGAAATGGATCTGATGTCTACCTTCGAATTGCTTCGGCCAGACTGTCAGGGCCCCCTTTGTGTGCGGCAAAGATGCAGACCCCCTGGGGCTTACAACAGGAGGATCAGAACGCGGAGAGATGAGATGTGAGGATGATGAGAACGAAGGCGTTGAGACGGAGGAGTAGGAGGGTTGGGGCGTCGAGGAGGAGTACGAGGAGGTGAGCCGCATGATGAGGAGAGAGATCAGCACAACTCGGAGGACGAGGAAGCGAAGGACGGGTGGAGGAGGAGGAAGCAGTGGTAGGTGCGAGTGAGAATGATACAAGTGAAGAAAATGGGCTTGAAGGGGTGGTGGTGTTTTCCGCGGGTTGGCTCGCCTGCAAGCCGTCTAGGCTTTGCTGAGGACCTTAGGCCACAACCCAAGACGGATCCGATGCAAATATTCCGCCCCCGGTGCCGTCGCCTGGAATGAGCAAACTCTTGTGAGATGCGTAGCGCGCTTACTTGAGAAGGACCCGCAGACTCCACAGAACCATATTCCAAGCTGCGTGCTTGAGTTCATACAGTGAGACCCGTGCACCCAGCCTCCAGCTAAGGGAATCACATCTCCTACAGGTAGTCTGTGAAACTCCCCATTGAGATTAAAAGGCTCAAAACAACAGGACTCCTTCCAATTGGTGGCTCTGGCCTGTGGCCGTGCCAAAACAAATCTTACAGTTTAAACCCGAATCGTCAAGCTGGCGCTGCGTGACGAACGCGGGAGGTAGAAGGGGAGGAGGTTGAGGCCCAGCATGTTCCTTGACCCGTATCTCGGACGCCTTCACGGCGATGACAGCGCGTGCTACACATAGTAGGCGATGCCGTACAAGATACGCTCGAGGTTCAGTTTCCAGCACTTGGTATCGTAAATGTTTTGGTAGTCTAACTTCGGCTGCTGCAGCTGCGGCCACTTCATCAACAACTGTGTTGCCAATCGTCATCCACTCCCTGCTTGTCCGCTACAAAGATCCTCTCCAGTGAGATGCGAATGAACGGAACTGACTTGTTGGTGTTGCTTCGGCTCCCATGGGTAAGAAGCCCGCAACAACTCCATTGAGACCTCCTCTGTGCTACAGGTCATCCGATTGCGGTGCTGGCGTAGCTGTCCATGCCGTTGGGATGAGCCACGATGCCGAAAACAAGTCGTACTGCTCGTGCTGAGTACACGCTGTCGCTACTAGACATTCACTTTTTTCGTAAGCTGCCGATTCAGCATTCTTGCTGTACATCCATCACGTAGCCCCTGCTCACTGTTCTCGTGACCCGCTGCGAAGCTGGTCGCGAGCCCCAATGATGAAATAGAGCCAGTGAGTCGTCCCGACCTAACATCTACATCGGTCGTGAGCCCTGGCGACGAATGATACCTAGAAGGCTGTCCCGACCGGCCGTGGGTCCCAGGGACGTTCGTAGTGCATCGGGTGGTGCACGATCTCCTCGGTTTGGCCGCTCATGAGCTTCGCATCTCCCCCGGAATCGATGTTGAGCCAATTGATCAAGCTTCCTGGCTTGAGGCCACGCGCCTCCGACAGCTATGTTGAGGAGCAAGCCCGCTAGCCTGTGTCCGCCTGTCCGTACTGCCCACGGCTGCTTGAGATGCTTCATAGGAAACCAAGTGTCGTTACCTGCTCCAAAGCCTACAACGTCGTAGTGGGACTCGACTCGCTTCCAAACTGGTCATCCAGAAACTCTGCGAAATTATCGATTGCTGGGTTACCTGTGAAATTCTCATGGAAACTCCCACTTGAAATCACCTGGAGGCCCCCATGAAGATGTGGGCCCAGGAGATATCCATCCAACTCCTAGCAAGTACGTGAAAATGGTTGACATTGGTCCTCGCACGTGGCTGCTTCGGATTGCCTCTGGTACCTGCTCGAGCTTGGCCCTGACCTTAGGCCACGCTTTCACAACTCCTGCACGTAGATGCCGTTGGTCGCGCCTTTGCGGCAACCGCAACTCAAGCGTTCCTACCGCCACCTTCCCCGCAGGATCCAACGGAGGTGGTTTCGATACCTAGCAAGGTCGTCAAGCATCTTCCTCCAGACCGGGAATTGCAAGCTGCTCCCAAGTGTTTGCGATACGCTGTGAGATGATTTCCAAACACTCCATGTGGTTGGTATCCTCAGCTGCCTGCAGCTCGAGCCCCCTGCCTCTCCAGTCTCGACGTAAGATGTGCGCGCCTGCCACTCGAGTGCACGTGACTACCTTGTTGTACCCTCTGGTGTGCTTGAGATTCCATTTGGCCCGCTACTCTCTGGCGTGCCGTCAGCCTGCTCCAAGGTCAACTCCAAGTCACGACGTATGCCTCGAAGCCGCGATGATGCTCTGGGTCGGTTCGAACGGTATAGAAAATGCGTCGATCTGGTTGGGTGTTCTCGGTGATGCGCATTGAAGCACGTCACGGTGGAACACAGTTGATGATAATTCCAATATCAAATTTGTCGTCGCAAGTTTGAGCCAATACATTGTGTGATAATGCGAAGCGATATCGATGAGTCCATGCCCGTAGAAAATGTCGAGTGTCGAACACATTTCTTCGTCAGGCACTCTCCGAAAGGAATCCTGCAGGGATGAGTTGTCACGAACTGCGGTGCCCCACTGAGGTTCGGAAACTGCAGTCCAACGTCTGATCCACGGTTCTCTCGCCGGGCTCCAGATTCTGTCAATCACGGAAATCAGATCTATGACGAGGTCACCGAAAACCTAATTTACACAATGATTGGGAATTGGGCAGGCCAAGCAAGGATGTGTTCCGCAGCGTTCAGCAAGTCAGCCAACAGTTGCAGTGTTGGGCCGGGTAACCTTTGAAGGTCGCATGGCGTCATGGCGTCAGCCTATAGACGCCCAGGCCCGTCTCAGGCCTCATGGCCCCTAGGGCCTTCTTCATGTCACCGCGGGTGGGGTCGGGCAAACTCTCCGAGCCCTGAGTAGCATTACGAACCAATCCCCATGAATTGTCCAGACTAGAGTCAGGATCGTGTGCACAAGAGGACCAAAGGGTGTGCCACTTACGGCTTTCAAGTCAACGATATTTTCGGGGTGGAAAATGACGTTCTCGCCGTCGGTGGAGGTTTTCTGTAGCCTCGGGGGAAATTGCCGTTCTTGAATTCTCCGAGCGACTCCGAAACGGCCCGCCTCTGGCTCTTCCTAATAATCCTCTTGGAAGCCTCAGAGGGCCTCTCAAGAACAGGGTGATCGCACTCAGCAGCAGCCAGGAGTACGCGTAACCATTCAGCACTGGCAGGTTCCAAAACCTCACGTAGGACACGGAGGGCTTGGACTTGTCTTCAACCAGTCTAAGGCCTAAGGCATGCTCCTTCAAAACGTTTTCTCTTACTCCATTGCGCCCACAACGATGTCGGGCCAGGGAGCTTCGAATTGTGTGCAGTCTGGTCAACCATCATGCCACAATATCTTGGAGACGGGAGACACGTACGTAGAACCTCGCAGACGGTGGTTTGGCACCCAGGCACGGTGGCCATCGAACGGCCTAACCTCTGTTGTTCGCTACGATCTTGGTAGATGAGACGAGAAGGGAGAAACCATCAGGACGAGCAGGAGAATAAGAAAGACATTATGGCGGTGAGGTAGGGGGAGAAGTAGCATGGAGGGGGAGGAGTCGAAGAGGAGGAGGTGCAGGAAGGCGAGGAAGAGGAGGGCGAGGCGTGAGGAGTGTGGAGTGAGGAGCGCCGCGTGAGCAGGGCAGGAGGAGGCACCTGGACTCCCCAGTGCCCGCCGGTTTTTTCGGTGCTCTGCAGTGGCCGGGGATGTGCATCCCTATGCACATAGGCACGGTAGGTTCGCGTCGTGTCGACCGGCGGCGACCCCGCCGCCGACGTTCAACGCCAAGGGGGGCGCCGTGGCGAGGGCGGCGCGGCGGAGAGTTTGGCGGCCCCGGCGGCCTGGGGCGCGCCTGGGCCCGCTTATCACTTGCTTGCCCGCTGAGGGCATCTCGGCCTCCGTGGAATGTTGAACGTCGCCAGCGACCCCGAATCGATCGCTGTCGAACGATGTGACGCTTCGGAAGTTGCCAATCGTTCCAGTATGGGCCTCCTGGATGGGGTCCGAGTAGATAGGGCTCGGAGGATCGCGCCGCATCGCCGTGGCATCGCCGACCGCGACGATGCATCGCCGGTGCCGATGCGTCGCCGATGTATCGGCGGTGCGGCGCGACCCTCCGACCCCATCTACTCCGACCCCATCTAGGAGGCCACTATCAATTATCAAGGTTGAACGATTCCCGCAGTGTCTGGAACCAACGCTGTGGTCGTCACGACACGAACCCGCGGTGGCCGCGCTTTCTCCCAGCGCGCCGCCGAGGGCGCGCGAGTAGTGCTTGGGCCGTTCGCCGGCGGCCAGGCGAGGGAGTCGCCTCGCCACCGGCGGGCGCTGCAGCTTTTTTTTCGGATCCCCTTCTCCGTCCGGGGATGGGGGCGTGGCATCGCTCGGACGCGTGCAGTTTTCCTCGGCGAAAAATGTACCCACGACATCGAAAACTGCACGGGGGATGAGCTTCCGAGCGATGGCCAGGGGGGAGGGGGAACACGAGGTAGGGCAGGAATCGGGCGGGGCTAGGTCGGGGTCAAGTCCGTTTCTGAGCGTTCCGGAACGCCCTCAGAGCGTTCCCGAACGCTCTGAGGAGGCCGCGGCACCCGAGACATTCTTTCGAAGCCGCCGCATCTCAGCGACTCTCGATTGCATCCGCACCCGAATTTATCCTCGTCAAGGCTTCGTCTTAAGGAAGGCGAGGAGAAGGATGAGGAGCAAGAGAAAAGGGAGGAGGAGGGTGAGCAGGAGGGAGGAGGAAGAGGAAGGACAGGGAGGACGAGGTGGACGAAGAAGGAAGAGGAGGACGAGGAGGAGTTCGACGAGGACGCGGGAGGATGATGAGGATGGCGTGAGGAGGCGGGATGAGAGAATAGGTGGAGGAGGACGAGGAGGAGGAGAAGGAGGAGTTGAAGGAGGAGGACGAGGAGGAGGAGGACGAGGACGAGGATGAGGAGGTTGTGGTGATGCTGCTGCTGATGGTGATGATGATGGTGGTAGTGGTGGTGATGGTGATGATGACGGTGATGCTACTGATGATGATGTTGAGGATGATGATGATGTTGTTGATGATGATGTTGACGGTGTTGCTGATGTGGTTGCTGATGATGAGGGTAATGGTGATGATGATGATGATGATGATGATGATGATGATGATGATGATGGGGGTGATGATGATGATGATTATGTTGATGCTGACGATGATGATGGTGATGCTGATGGTGGTGATGATGAAGATGATCATGATGATGATTTATTGCCACGACAACGACGATGGTGATGGTGATGGTGATGGTGATAGTGATGGTGATGGTGATGGTGATGGTGATGGTGATGGTGATGGTGATGATGATGACGATGCTGATGCTGATGGTGATTGTGATGATGGCGATGATGATGGCGATGATGGTGATGGTGATGATGATGGGTCATGATGATGATCGTGAGGATGATCTGTGTCACGACAACGACGATGGTGATGGTGATGGTGATGGTGATGATGGGGTTGAGGGTGGTGGTGATGACGATGATGATGCTGATGGTAGTGATGATGATGATGACGATGCTGATGGTGATGATGATGAGGATGGCGATGACGATGCTGCTGTTGATGATGTTGGTTATGTCGATGGCAATGCCAATGATGACAATGATGATGATGCTGATGTTGCTGATGATATTGATAGTCTGATGGTGACGGCGATGATCCTCAGCATGATGATTACCAATGATGATGACGTTGAAAAGTCTGATGATGATGATCATGGTAACGTAACCCCACTTCGAAGGGGCCCAGACGTGTTGGAGGAGCAAGCGCCCCAAACAACCACCTCTGTCCTGAGGGCTGGTTGGATTCACTTACACCAAGGTGGAGAGGCCACCTCTTGGCTCAGTCGCAGACGGGCATTCTCTCCATAATGGCCAAGAAGTTGGGAGGCGTCAGGTCGGCCCGCCGAGCTCAAGGCCACATCCGGAAGGGTCTTGCTCGACCTTCTCTACGAGCCCGCCCTCGCCCCCCATCTCCTCTTCCCAGTCGAGAGAGGGAGGGGGGAGGAAGAGGAGGCACGGGTGACGCGGAGGGAGGAGTCTAGCTCTTCCTTTCAACTCCGCACGGCCGTTTCGTGCATGGTGGTGGTCGGCTGAGGGCAGTCCCTGGCTCTCTGAAGCACAGGCTCTGGGAGGGGGTCGAGCGCTACAGCGGCGGTGGACTGCTCATCCGCACTCCTAGTCGTCTCCTCCGCAAGTAGTCAAGGGCGCCCTCGAGGGCGCGAAGTTATTCGCGCTTCGCGCTTCGCGGTCCTCGTTCCTTCTCCCCCTCCTCCTCGTCCTCCTCTTCTCCCTCTGGGGGGGCGGCGCGAGAGCGCGAAGTTATTCGCGCTTCGCGCTTCGCGGAGCGCGAAGCGCGAAGTTGGGAGCCCTAGCTGAAGCACGGGCTCTGGGAGGGGGTCGAGCGCCGCAGCGGCGGTGGACTGCTCATCCGCACTCCTAGTCGTCTCCTCCGCAAGTAGTGCGCCCCCGTCGTTTCTGTCGACTCCGCCCGTCGATCTTGAAAATGTCCTCCTGTACTCATTGGGGGCGGTCGCCTCCGGATCTCCGCCATGTCCTTCGGGCACGGGTTTGCCTCGGAGGATGGACTCAGACTGCTGAGCACCAGCTTTTCACTGCAGAGCACTCACAGCTGTTCCTCGGCCACACTCGTGAGGTGCAACAGAGCGGCCGCCTCCGCGAGTGCGCTCAGCCTGTCGCAGGCCAGGAGCTGTGCCCGAGAGGTTCCGTCCGCGACCCGTGGCGAGCTGCGCTGCGCGGCCCGCGCGGGCCACGAAAGGACGTTGCTTACACCTGCGTGCCCCCCACCGCTTGCAAACCCCGTGCCCTGTGCCCCAGCCGCGCCGATGATGCAGGCTTAAGTCGGGCCTGTCCCCCTACAGGGGGATTTTCGACGAAAAATAAAAATGCCCCCAAAATAACAAAACAATAGTCCAAACATAGTCTGGGGACTATTTTTTGAGTAGTTTTTTTTTTGTCTTACCTTTTTGAAGTACTTTTTGGGGTACTGTGAATTTTTCGTCGGAAATCCCCCTGTGAGGCTGACACGCCCGACATAAATGCGGGCCCCGTGCCCCGGCCGCGCCGACGCTGCAGCGGCCGCTCGCCCCCCGGGAGGCGGCGGCGCCGCCCCGCACGCCGAGGGCGCGGCGCCCTGGGCTGCGCGACCCTGCCGCGGGCGGCCTGCCCACCGCCCGCCGGGGGGCGCCGTGGCGAGGGCGGCGCGGCGGAGGTCGGCGGCGAGCAGAACCTTTCGATGCTCTACTTTTTTTGTTTTGTTTTTTTGTTGTTTTTTATTTATTTATTTTTTTACAGCCGCAGGCGGAAGCGCCAGCGGCGGAAGGTCGCGAACGGGCCGCGGACGCGACTAAATTACCTAACGCGCGCAGGGCCGCGGATCAGGCGGGTTTCGATGCTCCACGCGGAGCGCCAAAAGTTTATGCTTACGCCGTGCCCCGGTCTCGCACAGACGCTCGTGCGGACTGCCTCTGCCGCGCCGCGACGCAAAGCAACAAAAGAACGATCGAGTGCCGAGGCTTCGGCCAGCAGCTCGGGCTCGCCTCCCTCCGTGGTTGGCGACAGTCGGCCTCGAGCGAGGGGGGGAAGTGAGAAGGAGAAGGCCTTCTCAGAAGGCTCGGAAGTCCCACGGCCTTCTGAGAAGTGTTCTGAGCCTTCCCCGAGGACAGGAAGTGTTTCTCAGAAGGCGCAGGGGCTTCCGAGAAGTCCCGCCGCCTTCTGGGAAAGGCCTTTTCCTCCTCATTTCCCCCCCTCGCTCGCCGCCCAGGAGGGCCTGGCGGCTCCAGCGGCCTGGGGCGCGCCTGGGCCCGCTTACACTTGCTTGCCCGCTGAGGGCATCTCGGCCTCCGTGGAACGTTGAGCGTTGAGCGTCGCCAGCGGCCCCGAATCGATCGATGTTGGGCGATGTGACGCTTCGGAAATTGCCAGCTGTTCCAGTGTGGGCCTCCTGGATGGAGTCCGAGTAGATGGGGCTCGGAGGATCGCGCCGCATCGTCGATACATCGCGGGTGCGGCTCGATGTGGAGCCCGATGTTCTCCACGCCGGCGTCGCCGATGCATCGCCGATGTCGCCGATGCGTCGGCGATGTACCGCCGATGCATCGGCGATGCGGCGCGATCCTCCTACCACATCTGCTCCGATCCCATCTGGGAGGCCTCTGCGGTGGCGCCAGCGAGCGGCGGCGGTAGCACCCCGGCGATCCAGTTCGTCTTCGAGGCCGAGCGCCTGCACGTCTCGCGGGGCCTGCGTAACTCGGGGGGCTCCGCCGCCTCGCCGTCGACGTGGGGCGCCCTGGGGGCCCGCGCTGGCGCGCGATGGCAGCGGCCGTCCATCACCGCTCGCGTCGGCGTTCGCGACGCATTTTGGACCCTCTGCCCTGCGGGGCCGTCTTCCGTGCGCCACATGTCACGAAGGGAGAAAAAACACAGACACAGTTCATCGTCGAACCCGGGAAAGCATGGGAAAATAGGGGCAGTGGGGGTTAAGACGAAAACCCCGAAGATATGGGAAAACGTGGGGGAATCCTGTCATTTGTCGGAGGCCCAGAGGTTGACATCAACACCAATCTCGGCGATGCGCCTCCACCGAGGAAAGATGATCCCGATCTCGGTGATGGTGGTAATACTTGGGCTTCCCAGGTGGCCGAAGTGTTTCCACCAACACCAACACCTAGGCTCACTCTCCCCTGGCAGAGGCAGCCCTCGGCATTGGTGTTGGCGCCCATTTCTAAGCCCCCAAATTTGCGTGTATCCACTCGTGTGCCCTCGGGCCCCTTTTGGAGCGTGGCGGGCGCACGGCGCGGGGAGGCTCTCGCTCGCGCTCGCCAGGGGGCCACCTCTCGCCGTGCCGGCTCCCGCCGCCCTCCTCGCCCTGGCCGTCCTGCGAGGCCGCGGGCGCCTCGCCGGCGGAGGCCGAGCACCTCTCGAAGGCGAAAATCTGCACGAACGGATTTTTCGCCTTCGAGCGAAAGAAGAATGCACGAAAGAATTGTTCGTCTCCGAGAGAACGAAGAGGAAGAATCTGCACGATGAAACATCTGCACGAAAGAATGGGCACAATGCCCAACAGCGGATCCTGTTAGACAGACACGATTAAGCAGACACGATCAATAGATAAACGCATCGATTAAGACACATAGAGGGGGAGAATAGCAGGAGGGGGTAAAACACACAGATTGAACACACAGACGCGATGAATCGTCGATTCCCCAGAAAGGATGGGGAAATATTGGGAAAATATGGGATTCCCCAAAAAGGATGGCACCTCTCGAAGAAGAAAAATCTGCACGAACGAAATGGGCACAGAAAGAATGGGTACAATGCCCAACAGCGGATCTGGTTCATTCTGAACAGGACTCGCTGTCCACGCCGCCGCGGCCTGTGTCCATTCGAGACAGAAGGCCGCCTGCCCAACAGCGGCCGCTGTTGGTTTGGGACAGCATCTGCTGTTGGGTATTGTGCCCATTATTTCCGTACTTATCTCGGGCGTCCAAACAAAAAAAACAGGAGGGGAAAAAACACAGATTAAACACAGACGCGATGAATCGTCGATTCCCCAGAAAAGATGGGCAAAGATGGGAAGTGGGGGGGAAGACAAAAACCCAGAAAATATGGGAAAACATGGGGCATCCTAATGTTTTTGTCTCTTTACGAGTGCGTCCCAGGGCCCCTTCAAAAGTGCCATAAACATAATGTGTTGGCGCTCCGCGTGGGTTTCCTGGATCCGCGTTGTGGCCTCTCGGTGGCGCCTCCGTCGCCGCCCCTGGCGCGTTTCGCACGCCAGGGAGGGGGGTCAGCGCAGATCGAAGACATCCGCGCGGGGCGCCAGAAGTTTGTGTTTATGTCGTTTGTTCTTTATCTAATTTCTGTCCTCCACTCGGCGGCGAGAGAGGGGGGGAAATTACAAGGGCGGGCCTTCTCAGAACGCTCTGAAGTCCCCCGGGCCTTCTGAGAAGTGTTCGACGCCTTCCCGGAAGATACAAGAAACCTCTCCGAAGGCGAGGGGTTCTGAAAAAGTCCCGCCGCCTCGTGAGAAGGCCTTCTCCTTCTCACTTCCCCCCTCGCCCGCCGCCGTTCCACGTCAGGCTTGTGATCATGAGAGGCTCACGTTCGCTGGCCCAGCAGAGGCACGTCCGGAGAGTCTGCCTCCATGGTTGTTCCTCCTCAGGTGTACCATGATATCGATACTGGGCTACGGAGTTTCCTGACACGTCTGATCGCTGCAATCAATGTTCAGTTTAGCCTCCACTGACGGCACAACATGTCAATAGTTCTCCTTGCCATCGAGGGAGACGGTGCTTCGCACTCCTGGTGTCGCAGTAACCGGGTTTGTCGTTACCCCCCATGCAGGCTGGCGGATGCTGAGGGCGAATTTTTCTACATCAGTGACGGCACATACCAGTACCCGCGCACCCGCGGTCTGGATGCTGGGGCGCGACCCCGTGGCGGGGCATCCGCGGGAGCAAAAAACGCCTTGTGTCCGCAGGGTCGCGGCCCTGTGGCCCGGCCCGCGAGGCCGCAGATATGGATGCGTTTTTCGCCCACCGTGCTAGTTGCTGATGACGGTGATGATCAGGTGGAGGAGGCAGAGGAGGCGAAGGCGTAGGTGGAGGTGAGGGGGAGAAAAGTGTGGATGAGGAGGTCAACAGGTGGCTGGCTTTTCGGGCTGGGTGCGCCAGAGTAGAATTAGGATGTTCCGCCGGCGGCCAGGCCTGCGGAGGCGCCCCTGCCGCCAGCGAGAGAGCCGCGGCCCACCTTCTTGCTTGGTCGATCCCGTGGCACGTTGCAGGTTGGAGGGAGGAGGAGGAGGAGGACGAGGAGGAAAGGAGGAGGAATGATGATGATGATGATGATGATGATGATGATGATGATGATGATGATGATGATGATGATGATGATGATGATGATGATGATGATGATGATGATGATGATGATGAAAATGATGATGAAAATGATGATGATGATGATGATAATGAAAATGATCATGATCATCATCATCATCATCATCATCATCATCATCACCATCATCATCATCATCATCAGCATCACCATCATCATGATGATAGATACTGATGATCATCATGATGCTGATAGTTGGGATGCGGCTGATGATGATGATGGTGGTGATGGTGATGATGATGATGCTGATGCTGATGCTGGTGATGAAGATGATGATGCTGATGCTGATGCTGATGCTAATGCTGCTAGTGATGATGATGATTATGGTGATGGTGATGGTGATGATGATGATGGCGATGATGATGATGGTGGTGATGATGATGATGCTGATGATACTGAGGAGGATGAGTATGATGATATGCTGCTGATGATGATGATGATGAGGAGGAGGAGGAGGAGGAGGAGGAGGAGGAGGAGGAGGAGGAGGAGGAGGAGGAGGAGGAGGAGGAGGAGGAGGAGGAGGAGGAGGAGGAGGAGGGGGACGGGGAGGAGGAGAGGGGGAGGGGGAAGAGGAGGAGGCGGAGGCGGAGGAGGAGGGGG